CAGCATCACTGCTGAGGATGCTGGAGGTTACAGATGTCAGATTCAGGATGGAGGCAGCTCTGATCCAGATGTGTATCTAAATCTGATGAGCAGTGAGTGATCTGAACTGACTCTGTGTTCCTGATGATATCAGTCCTTCCTAACCTGGAAATATAAATGGTCTTTGTTGGTTTTCTCATTTCAGTCTCTCCAGTAGAAGCTGATCCAACAGGGAATAATATCACATTACTCTGTTCTCTGCTCAGATACAGCTCATTGGGTTCTTGTCCAGAGAACAGCCTCCTCTGGGTGGATGAGACAGGAACTGGTCTGACTGGTGAAGGTGTTGGGTACCAGCTTAGACAGACTGGCTGTGATTCTTATCTCACTGGGAAGCTTCAGAGCAGCAGCAGCAGAAGATACACCTGCCAGTTTGTTGATGGAAACACAGTGAAGATAGAAGCTCACTACCAGCTGGAAGGTATGATGTCATCTTATTAAGATAAAATAGAAAGTCTGTGATTAAATCTATGTTGTGTTAAAACAAACAGATATCTGTTTACATTTAAGTCAAATTATGTTTTTTGCCATGGTTATGTATTATAATATTGGAATCACCCAAGCAGATCTTCCCAAAAACACCAACATCATCATCCTCCTTGGAGCAGTGATCGGCGTTCTGCTTCTGCTGGTTGTTCTGGCTGCTGTTTTCATCAAACGCAGGAAAACCAGAGTTAAAGAGGAACATAAAACCACAGCAGGTACTGGATCTTTAATTTACAGAGGGAACCTATGATGTCGGCAAATATACAAGTGTTTATTAGTTATTTTCTATTATTTTTTTATTTCTACATGATTGTAATAAAGGGTAAATAAAGGGTACAACATTCAAACCTGTTACATAATCAGCTTAAGCAACTTTGTTTGGATGAAAATAATGACATTCTCAGACCGCAGAAATATTCATAAAAGGGCAAAGGAAAGAATTATACATTTTTTCTCCATATAATTTCTCATCCTGCTCTCCCTTTGGATAGCATCCAGGGTGGGACTAAGACTTCAGAGGCCTTTGGGGGCAATTATTGATTTATTAGTGATTGAAGTCAGAGTGAACCTTGACCTGTGTCACATGACTGTCAGGAAATGAATGGTAGTCAGGGTTCTAACTACTGTGGTAAGGTGCTTCTCTGTCAGCTTGTTGTGTATTTGTTATCAATTCAAGTAAACTTTCTATCTATTATTATCATTTCCCTCAGTGCAAAAAGCTGCATTTCTTCTCTTATTAGCTCATTTCTGATTCCGAAATCTTGTGAAATACTTTTCACAGAATAAGGAAGAACTGTTTCCATAGTAACCATAGTGTGGTAAACTATTACTGTTTCAGAGAAAAGGGGAAGCTAGAAATATTTTTTTTTTTCTTTTCATTCAGAGGATCAAGATTCAGCCCATGGAAGTCATCAGTGTGTGAGTATTGATACAATCCAATTAGTTTCCCATAGAGTTAACAGACTGTGAATAAAATGGCTGTATGTTAGATGTTTAAAAAATAGCCACTATGTTTTAACACCAAAACAGTTAAGATGTCCTACTTGCTGCTTAT